TGACGTTTATTCTCTTTTCTGATTGCATTGGTTAGGACTTCCAGCACTGTATTGAAAAGGAGTGGAGAGAGTAGGCAGCCTTGCCTTGTACCAGTTTTTATTGAAAATGCTTTCAGCTTTGTATGAATTTTTCCCTAAGAATGTCCAATTGCATCACCATTGTTCAATTTTGTAGCTTTGTCCAAATTTAGGTGTTTGGCGCAGACAGCAGCTTATCCAGCAGCAGTGCTAGAAGCCACATAGTTGACTGCTGGTTCAGATCCCCAGGTTGGCCTGGCAATACGTCAGGTGCATGTGTGCACACTCAGAATTCTGAAAGGCTGGAGCGCTGAGAAAAGGGATCATGGCGTGACAAGACCCCGTCAGTGCTTTTCTCTAGCTCAAGTGTGTGCACACGCTTTCATAAATAAACTTTAAAAAATCAGGGCTGGGTGGCTCTGTGGCCAGATCCCATATAACCTACCTCTTAGTTTGAGTTCTGGGCCTAACAGCAGGGGATTGTGCATGGGGAGTGCTTTCTTTTCTCCCTTAGTTCAGTCTCTGGTCATCTCATTATGCTTTCTTACAAAAAAAGGGGGGGGGATTTAGTTGGGGTTTTTATGTGAGTCTTATTTCTGGGTTCTCAGTTATTATATATATATATTTTTTTTTTTCTTACCTTTTTATATAAACTTTAAAATAAGTTTATTTTATGTCAATTAAAAAATCATTGGAATTTTGGTAGGAATTGCATTAAACTTACAGATCATTTAAATCGATAGCTTCACTATGCTGAGTCTTCCAACCATGAACTTAGCATACCTGTTAGTTTAGGTCTTTGATTTTTCATGGGCATTGTGTAATTTTCAGCATGCAGATCCTTTTTTTTTTTACTTTTGGTATAGGACTCATGTGCTTGCCTGGAAGAGAGTGAAAGTGAGAAACGCCCCCTTCCCCACCCCCAAATGCCTCTTCATCCCTCTTTTCCACTCTCCTCTTAGCATTTTTGGGTACACAAACACGTGCATGCACCTGGCGTGATTTTTAGGCCACTGGGGACTGGGCTTGAACCACACAGTAGTGTGGGTTCCAGCCACCTTAACTTGGCACTACCTGTGCATATAGGATTTAGGGGTCAAGCAAAGATTTGGGTAGAGTTCATACTCTGGGCCTGGGGCTCCATACTCCCTCTCCTTTCTGGGACTTCCTACCTCATTTTTCTAGTGGTTATAGTTGCCATCCTTTCTAATTCTTCAAACCATTAAGACTGTAGGCTTTTTTCTCTTAAAGTTCTAGCTAGCCCACATGACTACACAGACTGAAGCCTCTCCCCAAACTAAAAGCCATTAAAAGAGTAGGGGGGTTCTACCCTGTACCACTTTTTCCAAATGTCAGTTTTCCTTTAGTTTTTGCTTGATTTGTATATACTCTGGTCAGAATTTATAGTTCTCTGTGGAAGGATTGAATCAAAATGTACTAACAGGGACCAGCTGGTGGCGAGGTGGTTAAGGCACTGGTCACTCCCACGTAGCCGACCATGGTTTGAGTCCTGGACCTAGTGGCTTGCTTTCTCACTTTCCCTCTCTCTGTCTCTCTGTGTCTCTCTCTAGTTGAATGAAAGTAAGTAAATGAATAAATAAGCTTTGGGGAAGAAAAAGACTCTGTCTTCCCATCTTTAAAAAAAAGGCACTAACATGCATTTTGTGATAATTTTCAGGTTTACTCTGCTATATTGCCACAAAATTAAGTTGTTTACATTTATAATAAGAGGAGAGGATCAGCAGGTGGTGTGGTGTTTAAGGCACTGAATCCCACATGGCTGACTGAGCATCTGGAGTCTTGGATCCAGCAGCTCAAGAAAACACACTGGGGGTGTGTGCGTGCATGCCCAAAATCCCAAGGAAAATGGAGAAGGGATTGTAGCATGGCCATTCCCTCTGGGTGGTGCTTCATCACTTTTCTTCTGTCTTTCTCTGTCTCTCTCTGTTTTGAGTATACATACCCTTTGGGGCAGGGAGATCCTTCTCTTCTATATTGGAAAATAGAAAGAACCCAAGTGTTTTGGAGTTAGGAAGATAGTAGTATGGGTTTTGGTTTTACCATCTTCAAGTCATGTGATAATTGGTTATTTAACTTTTAAAATTTTATCTATAAAATGGGGATTGAAAATATCACTCTCAGACCAGCAGGTGGCGTGGTGGTTAAGGTGGTGGATCCCATGTGTCCAACTCCACGGTTCCAGTCCTGGACCTAAGAGGAGAATGAAGGAAAAGGGATTGTGATGTGGCCATTTCCCCTGGGGGCTAATTCTCACCTTCCCTCTCTATTTCTCTGCCAAATAAATGCACCCTATGGCAAAAAAAAAACAAAAAAAAAACAAAAAAAAAAACAAACTCATGTTTATTGTAAACATTAAAGTTTTAAAATTTCATAAAAAAATTAAGCAGGGACCAGCCTGTTGGGTGATGGTTAAGAAGACTGGATCCCACATAGTTGACTGAGTACTCCGCAGCTGGAGAAATACACTGGGCACATGTGCATGTATGACCAAAAATCCCAAAAGGAGGGAGAAAGGTGGAGGTGATTCCCCGTGAGAGAGTGATCTCTGACTTTCTCTGTCTCTCTCTCTCTCTCCAGCAAGCACACATGCCCTCTGGCAAATTTTAAAAAATAAAAATAACTTATGCATGATGTCTCACATTTAAATACCATATTTTTCTGATAAAACAGGAGCGTTTGTCCCACAGAACAAAAGTCTGCTCGCTAAATGTGACAATTACTAATTAGCATACTTTGAAAGACAAGTTTTCTTTGCATAAACCTAGGAATGACCTTAATTTTTCTTTAATTTTTTTTTGTGATTAAAAAAGCAGAATAGCATGTCCAGAGAGGGCAAGGAAACTCCATGAAGAAAAGAGAAAAGGAAGGGAGGATAAAAGGCAGAATAAAGCCGTCTACTACCTAATCACTTCAGTTTGAAATCTTTTTTTTTTTTTTTGGGGGGTTTTTCTCTACAGGGCGCATGCACTCGCCAGACAGAGAGACGGGAAGCGAGAAATCATCCCCTGGGGGGATGGTCACGCCGCAGTCCCTTCTCCTCCATTCTCCTCTCGGGATCTTGGGCACCCACGCACACGCGCCCGGCGTGAGTTTTAAGCCACGGGGTCCGGGACGCGAACTGCGGTAGACTACATGGGAGTCCAGCAACATAGCCATTACGCTAACTGCTGGTCCCCTTCAGTTTGAAATCATAAAAACAAAAATGTTCATTTTGTTCCTCTCACAGGAATCCCCTCCTTGTGTAGAAAATTACTGTCTACCAGAAGCTGTTCCATTTCTTCAGAATAATAAGGAACTTGGTCCTGGATTATCACAAAAGAGAAAAGCTCCCTCAGACAAGAACACCATCAAACGACCTCGAGTGCAGTAACCCTGTCTGCTCGGGAACATTCAGTGCTTTGAAAGCAACAACTCAGGCGTCCCCGTGAGAGACGTGCAGAAACGTAAAGACAGCTAGCTCTCCGAAGAAGCTCGCTTCCGAGTATGACGACGACTCCACTGGAAGTTTTTAAACACCGGAAATTTTAATCACTGAAATAGTAATGCTTCCTGAATCAGAAGGTACCTGAGGTAAAGACAAATCATACCCTCAGCCAGCTGCTGCTTTCACCATGCTGTCGTGCTTAAGGGGCATTTTGTTTATTTTTCTCGTAAACATCTGAGGCTCAGTGGAAGTTTTAGCAAGGTGATAGATTTTGCTTTGAATATCTGCCTTAATTTGTACCAGGAATCGATGGTTGGGATTTATTTGTGTTTTCCTGATTTTTATCTCATCATCATTTTAACCTCTTTTTTATCAGGAGCCTGAGCACAGGTTTATGAGGAAGCTGGGGCTTTAAACGTAAATATGTATGTGTATATATGTATATGTATGTTTGTACAAATCTCCATGATGTTTGCCAGGTTTGGGTGCCAAGACTTGGAAAATGTGAAAATAAAGAATAAAAGTAGTGAGTCAAATTAGTATTAATATGTATTCAGATTAATTTTAAAAAGAAAAAAATGCTCTGGAATCCATTCTCTTGTTGAATCAATAAAAAGACTCATAAAACTTAGCTTAAAAAGCAAATTGTAGAGGCGTGGTGGTTAAGGGTGCTGAACTCTCACATGACTGACCATGGTTCGAGGCCTGGACCTGATGACTTGCTTTTGCACTTTCTCTCTCTCTCACACACATGCACGTGCACACACGCACACACACACTGTCCCTCTCTGGTCAAATTAAATCAATAAAGTTAAATAAATTTTTTTAAAAAGCAAATTGCTATTTACATTTCTGATGTTATAATTCATTTATAATAGTGTTCTTTTATTGGAGCTACTACATTGTTAATTATGCCAAACCTAAATACTAAATGCTACATGAATTACCATAATCATCTATCTATAAAATAACTTCATCTTGGGCCATCCAGTGGCATGGTGGCTGAAGCACCGGGTTCCACATGGCTGACTGCGCTGTTTGCTTGAAAAAAAAGACATCAGGGGACCAGCAGTTAGCGTAATGGCTATGTCGCTGGACTCCCACGTAGTCGACCGCGGTTTGCATCCTGAACCCGGTGGCTTAAAACTCACGCCGGGCACGTGTGTGTGCGTGCCCAAGATCCTGAGAGGAGAATGAAGGAGAAGGGATTGTGGCATGGCCATCCCCCCTGGGGGGTGATTTCTCGCTTTCTGTCTCTCTGTCTGTCTCTGTCTGTCTGGTGAGTGTACGCGCCCTATAGTGAAAACCTCTCCAAAAAAAAAAAAAAAAAAGACATCAGGTGCATGTGCGTGCATACCCCAAAGTCCCAGAGGAGAATGAAGGGTTACAGCGTCGTCTTCCCCCTTGGGGAGGTGCTTCTTTCTCTCTGATAAGTGCACACATGCCCTATAGCAAAAAAATTAAATAAATAAACATTAAAAAATTAAACTCAACCTCTAGGGTCCAGCAGGTGGCATAGTGGTTAAGGTGTGGACTCCCAAGTAGTCCACTGCAGTTCGCATCCTGGACCCAGCAGCTTGAAACTCATGCTGGGCACATGTGTGGGTGTGCCCAAAATCCCAAGAGGAAAATGGAGAAGGGATTGTGAAGTGGCCATCCCCCCGGGGGATGATTTCTCGGTTTGTCTCTTTGAGTACATACGCCATATTGCAAAAGCTCACAAAAAAAAACCCCAAAAACCTCAACCTTGTCTTTTTGAAAACAAGCTAGAGTAAGCACAGTATTATAATTTCTTGTAAAGATTCAATTCTTAATGATTCTTTGAAAGGCGAACTCAGTGAAGTGAATCCCCCCACCTTTTTTTTTTTGGAGAGGTTTTTGCCGTAGGGCACATGCGCTTGCCAGAAAGAGACAGAAAGCAAGAAATCACCCCCTAGGGGGGATGGCCACACTGTAATCCCTTCTCCATTTTCCTCTTGGGATTTTGGGCACACCCACACATGTGCCCAGCATGAGTTTAAGCCACCGGTCCAGGACTCAAACCATGGGTCAACATGGGAGTCCAGCAACATAGCCATTACGCCAACTGCTGCTCCCCAGTGAAGTGAGTCTTTAATCCAGACACAAAAACCAAGTTTATATCAGAATCTCCCCAAAATAAAGGAGGTGTCCCTGCCTCAAGACTGACCCTCCAAAGTTTCAGCTTTCTACATGGAGAAATGGGGCAGCACTGTACTCCCAACAAAAGCCACGTAAGCTGCATGAATTTGTAGATCTGTAGTAAGTTTTCCGGTTTGTGTTTGCCTTTGCTTTCCATGGGACATGTGTGTGTGCCAGAGAGAGGAAAGGAAAGAGGAATGGTTACACTGCACTCCCTCCATTATCTCCTCGCGGTTTTGAGCATGCGTGCACACACTCTTGGCATGTTTTTTCAAGCTGCCGGGTCGAGCTTGAATCATGCAGTCAGCCATGTGGAATCCAGCACCTTAATCACCACACCACCTGCTGACCCCGCTCCCTGAATTTTACCAGTTAAAATTCTTTGAAATTGTTACTACTAAAAACTCGAAGGACATACTATTTTCTTTGCATTTTTAATTTCCTATAGGTCATGTGTGCTCATCAGAGAGACAAAGTGAGAAAGCAAGTAGCCAGGTCCAGGATTCAAACTGGTCAACCATGTGGGAGTCCAGTGCCTTAACCACCAAGCCACCTACTGGCCCCATGAACACACTATTGATAAATATTAAGATCCTATTTCTATTGCAGATAAAATTATCTATTTTCTTTGCAGAAATTGTGAACTGTTTTCCAAATGAGGCCTCGGTTTATAACTTTAAGGCTCTGAATCGGTTTCTCCTGACTCGCCAGTATCTGCTGACACCCTGTATAAATAAGCCACTTAAACTCTGGCTTTGACTCTTAGTCTGTAAATGCCCTGATGCCAGCAGGAAGATCCTCTTACATGCAAAAATTCCAAGCATAGGTAGGTCTTGAATTTAAAATGGGCAGGGAAGGAGTCCTTGATGATTATTAGTTTTATATCAGAACTGCTATAGTTTTTTACTCATACTAAAATGAGCACCTGTATTCTTCCATGAACTTTTTGGTGCATTAGTCTAATCTCACCACAGTGTATCCAGCAAATAGGCCTGTAAGTGCCTGGAATTGAGCAGCACTACCTAGAACATAGCATCCTGGGCATCCAAGAGCCAGGAGTCCCTATGTGGACACAGTCCTCAATCACACTTGAGGATTTAGTATTTATATTGTGGACTGAACTACGTCCTCCTGAAAATTCATGGGTTGATGAATAAGCCTCAATGTGACTGTATTTGTAGAAGAGCCTTTAAGGAGGTAATGAAGGTTAAATGAGGTCATAAGAATGGGGCCTAATCTGATAGGATTACTGTCCGTGTAAGACCCCATGAAAAGACCCCAGGAGCGTGTGTGCACAGAGGTAAGGCCCTTAAACCCAGGAGTGAGTAAATGCACCCGAATCAATGAATTCTGCTCTACCTAGTGCTATTAGTAACAGGCACACTAAGGAAAACAAAAGCAATCAACTAGCAAACTGGCAGATTCTGCAAACCAAAAGACCAAGTTTCCTACTACATGATAAGGAAAATGATGGAAATTTAGGGAGCCTAAAAGACAATGCAGTGGCGCTTATGTGTCTGGATCTGTTAAAAAAAAAAAAAAAATTGTAAGGCCCACAGCATGGCACTGTGGTTAAGTGCTATGTATTGAGAGCCAGATCCCACATAGCCAAATGCAGTTCAAATCCCAGCCCTGGCAGCCTGAAAAGGACCTATGTGTGGCCAAAATTCTGACAGGATGGAGAAATGGAGGGAAGGGGATTGCAGTGTGGCCATGCTTCATTAGGGGTGACTTCTCCCTCTATAGCCAGTGCCTGTACCTTGTGGCGATACCAGCAGTCAGGGCCAGTCAGTGCTGTGGTGATTGGGGTGGCCAGATCCTACATGGCCAGCTGCGAATTCTGGACCACGCGAGGTGCACGTGTGTGCCTATAACCCCAAGAGAATGGAGGAGATGGGATTGTGGCATGGCCATGCCCCCAAGAGCAGCTTTCTCACTTACCTCTCTCTCTCGACTTATTCTCCAAGTGAGAACATACACTCTGTAGCAAATTTTAAAAAGTAAAAAACAGTCAAAACTGTAAAATGCTATGAGAAATCAGAGGAATTGTTACATTAGCAGGGTATCTGATAGAGAAAAGGTTTTGGATGTGACAATGGTATTTTGGACATTAAAAGTGTCTTTATTGGGACCAGCAGATGGCATAATATTTATATCACTGGACTCCCAGGGAGATAGTGGTTCGAGTCCCAGATCTGGTGGCAGCTTAAGACACACGGACCATTGTGAGCGTGCCTAAGATCCCGGGAGGATGGATGAGAAGGGGTTGTGGCGTGACCATCCTCTGCGGGGGTTTCATTTCTTGCTTTCTGTCTCTCTAGTGAGCACATACACCCTGTAGCAAAAATTGCTCTCTTAAAAAAGTTGTCTTTACCTATTGGTGAAATATTTATGGATAAAATAAGTCTGCGTTAGCTTTAAAGTAACCTAGAAAATAGGATGTTCGCAGTTGAAATATAAACAAAAATGATCATTGTTGAAGTTGGGTTATAGGCTCAAGGGCATTTTTTATACTAGTTTCTACACTATTTGAAATTTTTACTATGAAAGTCTAAAAAAATTAAATTCTACCTTTTTTTTAAGGATACTACAGGGCCAGAGATGGCATAGGGTTAAGACAGCTGGATTTTTTTTTTTTTTTTTTTGAGAGGTTTTTGCTATAGGGCGCTATAGGGCGTGTGCACTCGCCAGACAGAGAGACAGAGAGACGGGGGGATGGTCACGCCGCAATCCCTTCCCCTCCATTCTTGTCTCGGGATCTTGGGCACGCACGCACCCGGCGTGAGTTTTAATCCACCCAGTCCGGGATGCGAACCGCATTCAACTAAGTGGGAGTCCAGTGACATAGCCATTACGCTAACTACTGGTCCCCAAGACAGCTGGATTTGACATGGCTGGCTGCACAGTTCGAGTCCTGAATATGGTAACTTGAAAAACACAGTGGGTATGTGAGTGTGCATGCCTGCCCCGAATCCCAAGAGACTGGAGAAGGGACTGAGGTGTACCCCCTTCCCCTCCCCCCCCCGGGGAGTTCTCTCACCCCCTCTGGCAAATGTACCTGCCCTGTAGCAAAATAAAAAGGTAGAAAAAAAGGGGATAGTACAACTCACTTCAACATGTTCTGCTGCTTTGTTTTGTTTTTTGTTTTTGGAAAGGTTTTTGCTATAGGGCACGTGCGCTCGCCAGATAGAAAATCACCCCCCAGGGGGGATGGCCATGCTGCAATCCCTTCTCCATGCTCTTCGCCTCTCGGGATCTTGGGCACACGCATGCACCCAGCCTGAGTTTAAGCCACCGGGTCCGGTATGCGAACCTCAGTCGGCTACATGGGAGTCCAGTGACATAGCCATTATGCTAATTGCTGGTCCCAACTTTCTGCTGCTTTGAGAGAAACCACCAAGAGGCCAGCACGGTGCTTGTGCATCCCTGCTGACCCTGCTGACCCTGGGACGGGAACAGGGCAAAGGGACCTTCAAGTCAAATTCAAGCATTCGTTTGCCACTTTCTCTTGGGGAGAGAAGAGTGAAATGATGCCTCATGAAAGAACATGGAGCCAGGGGCCAGCAGGCGGTGTGGTAGTGGCTTACTTTCCCTCCCTCCCTCTCTCTCTCTGTTCCTCTCTGGCCAAACTAAAAGTATAAATAAAAAGTAAATAAATAATAAAGTTAAATAAAATAATTCTTAAAAAAATGCGTGGAGCCAAACACCTGGCTTTGAATCCTGGCTCCTTCCTTGCTAGTTGTGACTGACCGCAATGGGCAAGCTACTTAACCTCTCAGAACCTATTTTCCCATCTTTAAGGGACTTCAGGATTAAACAAGTCATGTTAGCTGTTTAGGACAATGCTTGACCCAAGTTGAATACGATCTAAATTCCAGTGAAGACGGATCATTCAGCATTTCCTAAACTGAAGCTAAGGTCTAAAAAGCGTATGTCAGGGAAGGAATGTAAAGAAGTTCGCATCCCGCTCGCTAACAGTTACATGGTGCCACTCAAGGGGGAGGCCCCGACCTGCAAGTTTAACTCAGGTTCTAATGAAAGGAATCAATGTGAACTATAAAATCCGAAACAACTCCAGGGAAAAGCCAGAATAGCCCCAGCAGCTAGCCTAAAAGATCTCACTGCAAACCCCCGTGAAGGACGCTGTAGTGCAGTCCACACGGTCTTTAAATGAGGAAAGCCAACCACAGACCAAGGGTGTAGGTACAGGGTCCGTGTCCACAGGGTTGTCAGGAAGTCATGACACATTCTTGCACAGGACGGAGAAGAACATCCTGACTTTCCCAACAGCCAGTAGCCCCTGAAGAGGTGAGCTGTAGGAGTCCGCAGTTGCCAAAGCCTCCCTCTGGTAAAGCTGGTTAATCATCGCTCGTTTCAGCCACTGGAAAGAACTGAAGTTTAAAGAAACCCCTAAAACTCAGGTGATGTAGATAACGTGTTGGACTCCCACATGGCCAACTGTGGTTTAAGTCCCAGACCTGGTGGCTTGGTTTCTCACTCTTCCCCCGCCCCTGGTCAAATTAAATAATAAAAAATAAAATTATTTAAAAAAACAAATCTCAGGGGTGTAACTAAGCAATGTAATGGAAGGGTATATTTTAAAGTATCCACAGGGCCAGATGGTGGCCCAGTGGTGATACCATTCTGCACCTGTAACCCACCAGAGTGCGCCAGGTTTATGTCCAGAGACTTCCAGAGTGTGGCCAGGCACATGTACCCATGATCCCAGGCTAGCTAGCGCTGGGAGTGGATTGTAGCATCAAGTCATTTGGAGGGCCAGCAGACAGCATTGAGGTTAAGGCACTGGGTCCCACCTGGCTGACCACACAGTTCAAGTCCTGGACCCAGAGATTGAAAAATCATACCAGGCACATGTACATGTATGCATGCCCCAAAATCAGCTTAATGGAGAAGAAAATGGGGCGTGGCCATCCTCCCTGAGGGGTGGTTTCTCACTTTCTCTCTAGTGTGTGACAAAAATCTTTAAAAACTGAACTGGTTAATTGGACTAAGAGTACAACGGGTCTTCAAAAAGTAGCCCGGTGGGAGGCATCTCCATCTCTGCTGCTGCCGCTTTCTGGGTCCAGCTCTCCCCATCCGGATCCCCCCCTTCCAGACCCCAGTGCTAGTCAGGCTGGGTTTCTCTCTCCTTCATGTTCTTCTCGTCCCTTCTGACTTGTAAGAGCTTTCTGTCCCTGTGTTCCTTCATCTTGTCTCTTCTCTCATCTAGAACAGAATCCTTGCAGGCATCTCCGTTTGTCTCTGCTGCCTTTTACTGCGTCATTTTCTGCTTTTAACTCAATTTTATTTTCTGCAACATGTTTTCTGCTTTCTCTTTTTGTTCTAGTTCTTTCCTTCTTTTTCCTGTTTTTTCTTCCCATTTGCTTATTTCCTTTTACCTTACTTTTACTGCTCAGTCCTTACACAGCCTAGAAGTCTCGGTGAGTAGTAGCTAAACATCTGAATATTGTGACATTTAGAGAATTCTTTGCTCCTCACTTTCCTGGTTGTAAAAAGAGTGAAACTCCCTTTCATAAGTCCAATTTCAAAACAACTGTGATTATCACTGGAGGACACAGTAGAAGAGGGAAAATAGTACTCAATTATTTCATAGCATAATTCAGTATTATGAAACTGAAACACAAGCTCACAGTTACAGAATCCTCCCACAAATTAGCCAAAAGTGAATACATTACAAAATGACTTAAAATTGGAGAAGAGCCTCAAGGATGAGAGAATCAAGTAACACATCTCCACTGTAACTTGTCTTCAAGTTGAGAAAAACTAGAGGGCATTACCGAAATGTCAGAAAAAGAATTTAGAATACGTATGGCAACAAAACTACGAGATGCAAGAGAAGAGACATTGAGCTCCAAGAGATGAGGAAGTCTTTCCACAATATGAAATAGGATGCTATAAAAAAGAATCAACTGTTAGATGTGAAGGCTGTAATACAAGAAATCAAAAACTCCCTTGAAAGTATTAAACACAGGTGAGACCATACAGAAGATCCTATCTCAGAAGTAGAAGACAAAACCTCTGACCAAGAAAAAATTATCTAAAATACGGAAAAAACTGGGCTGACAGGTGGCATGGTGGTTAAGGGCACTGGACTCCCACATGGCCAACGGTGGTTTGAGGCCCAGATCTGGTAGCTTTCTCTTTCTCACTCTGTCCCTCTCTGGTCAAATTTAAATATAAATAAATAAAGCTTAATAAAAAGACCTTTTAAAAAATGCAGAGAAAATAACCAAGAAAAATAAGGATAATATATGAGAACTACTAGAAAATATCCAAATAATTGGTATCCCAGAAGAAGAAACTAATCAGGGAATTGATGATCTATTCCACAAAATCCTGGAAAAAAAACTTTCCAAGTCTAGAGAAGCACTCAAACATTCAGACCCAAGAAATACAAAGAACAGAAGATCCTCTCCACATATCATCATAGCCAGATTGGCCAAAACCATAGACAAAGACAAGATACCAAGATTGGTGAGAGGTCAAGTCACTTACAAAGGCTTTCCCATCAGGCTGACACCAAACCTCCCATTGGATACAATGCAAGCAAGGAAAGAATGGGGAAATATATTCAAAGTGTTCAAGACAATTTCAACCAAGAGTACTATACCCAGGGAGATTATCCTTCATATGAGAAAAAAAAAAGATAAATACATTCTCAGATCAACAAAACCTGAAAGAATTTAACAACTCCAGACCAGCTCTTCCAAGAAATCCTGAAAGGAGTATTGTACCAAGAAAACTAAAGACAGACAAACAGCAATAAGAGAACAAAAAACTGAGAATATGGCCAACTTAATGGTAGGGACAAGTCTGGAAATATTGATAAAACTGAATGGTAATGGATTAAATTCTCTGATTAAGCGATAGACTGGCTGAATGGATTTAAAACCAGAAACTGTCAATGTGCTGTCTACAAGAAACCCATCTCATGGATAAAGACATGCGTAGGTTAAAAGTGAAAACCTGGAAGAAAAAAAAAAAAAAAAGTGAAGGACTGGAAAAGGTATTCCATGCAAATGGAAGCCAAAAACCACTGAGAAGGGCATTATATAATAGTAAAAGGACTAATTCACCAAGATGATACAACAGTTATAAATATCTATGCACCCAACTCAGGAGCACCCAAATATGAAAAGGAAAGACAGATCTAAAAGGATAGACTGTAACACACTAATTGGAGATCTCAACACTCCATTATCTCCTTTAAGCAGATCAATGAGACAAAAAACAAGCAAAGAGATCCAAGACCTAAACGATACCATACATCAGATGGACTTGAGAGATACCTATCCAACTTTCCAACCAGAAAATATAAAATATACTTATTTCTCAGTCTCGCATGGTACCTTGTCAAAGACTAACCGCATAATAGGGCACAAAACCAGCCTTTACAGATCTGAAGGCATAGAAACTATACCCAGCATCTTCTCTGACTGTGATGGAATTAAAACTTAATCTCAGGAAGAACCCTCGAAAATACATAAATACATGGAAACTAAATAACCTACTTTTGAATGACTTCATCACTACTGAAGTGATTAAGACTGAAATAAAGATTTGTGGAGGGACCAGCAGTTAGCATAATGGCTATGTTGCTGGACTCCCACGTAGTCAGCCGTGGTTCAAGTCCCAGACCCGATGGCTTAAACTCACGCCCGGCGTGCATGCCCATGATCCCGAGAGAATGGAGAAGGGATTGTGGCATGGTCATCCTCCCTGTGGGGTGATTTCTTGTTTTGTCTGGTGAGCGCATGCACCCTATAGCAAAAACCTCTCCAAAAAAAAAAAAAAAAAAAAGATTCTATCAGAAATAAATTAAATAGAGGGACCAGATACAGAATAGTCTCTTTCATCCCATATCTGCCTTTTTAATGTTGAGTCTGGCATGCGTTTTTGAACTAGAAAGCACATTCCTTAGCTGAGAGCACTATCACCCTCCCACAGCACAGGAAGAATTACATCAATTCTCAATCTTCAAAGACAGAATATGGGCTGAGGGTTCAGAATAAAACTATCACACTCCAAAATCCATATACTTACTTTTTATTGAATTTGTTAATGTTACAGAGTTCTTGCACTGCCAAACCATGCCTGAGAATCCAAAGGAAAAAATGGTACAATGGACAGCCTCATCCACCCATCACACAGTGTATTAAAACTTGATTCATGTGCATTTTGATCATTTCACAATGTTTTAAAAAGTTGTAACAAGAGATGGAATTGAAGTCTGCTGTAGGCCTTCAAATTTCTAGTATAGTATGCCATTACATAACACCTCTGCATATTCTTCTTAGTTCATTCCTTATAACCCCCAACTAGTTTTACTGGAAAAATAACGCATACTTTCAGGGAAAATATGTGGCTCAAGGTCCAAGAGATCATTTGTTCAAGTTTTTGGTTCCCAAATGAATGTTTTCAGTTTAACCAAGAATCCCTTGTTTCTCATTCAGTTACTCAACCTCCCCTTGGCTGCTCAGCTACTCACCCAGTACATGAGGACAGCATCCTGCCTGCCACCTCAAATAATGTCAATATTACTGCCCAGAAGTGACTGGCAGGTCCTGCCAGGAGACAATGACACCCTCCTAGGAGTCCAATTCCGGCCTTGACACTTTCATCAAGACTACACTCCTACAGGACAATGTTCCCACAGCAGGAGAGTTTTACTCAGCCGTTTGCTTCACTCTGGCTAGTATCAAGTCTGCAACTCCCACATTTGGCAAAGGGATTTTTATTAGAGAGAAACCCAGACTCTACATCAAATGGTCACATATTACTTTGAAGTATTTCTATTGAACTAAAGATATAAAACTAGGAAATTGCCAGACTATCTCAATAGGTGGAAAGAGACTTTTCAGCAATCCTGGGTAGCTTCCTCAAGTTCCTTTTAAAGACTAAAAACTACTGGATAGTTCAGGCTGTAATTAAAAACAGAAGTGCTTCATCACCTCTCTCTCGCCTGGCTCTCAAATGCACATCAAGCACACCAAAAGGCTGGCAACAGAGCGGGCCGAGACAATCACTGCACCTAAAGAATGTCGAACACCATAAAAATTTGGGCACGAGTACATAATGAATTCTTAATAAAGATCGTGCAAGATCCATGAAACGTGAATGGATTTTAGCTGAGATTTTGCTCACACTGCTTTGAATTTCTAAGGACAGGTCAGTGGCTCTTCATTTGAGCAGAATTCATACTCTTTCCACAGCAGCTGACTACACGATTTAGACCTGATTAGAGGAGGCTTTAGCAGCACCTCAGATAGAGCCTCCAGCATTCACTGCCCTTTGTATCAAAGGCCATTTGGTTCCACTCCAGGGATTGGCAAGTTCAGGAGACATTTCACAATTCTAACGCATATTTCAGGTTACTCACTTAACCAAGCAATGTGCTCTGAGAACTTATTCCCAGTCAAAGCAAAAAAGGCCTTAATGTGGAACACAGAAAAGCACTACCTGAATAAAAAAGTACTAAAAGAAATAAAATTGTTCTTTTCCCCACCCCGTTTATCCACACATAGACCCAAGATTGGTTGAATTTAATTTGCAGTTACTTCGGAATACAACTAAAAGTTTAAATTATAAATCACAGCGCTACACAGATGATCTGAACAGGTCAGTTCTTTGAGTGCGGCATGTTTCAGGAAGTCTAGACAGCCACAGCCTACTACAGAGGACTCTGTACGGGTGGGGCACAGGACAGGTTAGTTAAGGTCACTTAAATCTTCATCTTTTACAGCAGATCAGAACCCAGACGGCTGACTTTCTGCAGGATTTCTGACAGGAATCCAGGAGAGCTGGTTTCAAGGTTCACGCTGACACTTAATTGCTGTAACCTTCTTATCCAGAAGTTGTGATCCACATGAAGTCCACAATGAATGCAGCAAATCTGAGGTAGTCAACCCTTACGAAGGCTCAGTATCTGAACATAAAAAGATTTTGAAATGACCAGCTGCAGGTTTTGTTTTTTTGTACTTGCAGAGTAATTAAGAACACTGCTGAATCTGGTTCACACAGGTATGACAATGAAAATCCCCCTAAGTCCAATACACAGAGAGAGCATTGTGACACTTTAAACCTCCGTAGTGCAACAGGGCCGGTCCTGGGCATCGCGTGGTCTGCATCGGCTGCTGTAGCTCCAGATGACGAATGGCTGTTCGGGGTGGTTAGCTGTGGTCTAGTTACCTTAGAGGGTTAGCAAAGACCATTCCTTAATGGTACTGTGTGTGGCTGCTTTTCTGATTTTCAAGCACAGCATACTGGTTGTCTAGCTGAAGTTTAAGGGCCTGGTTTTTTGAAACCTCATCCCTACCTCTATTTTTGTGTCTTACTACTTCAAAGCTCTTCTCCATTTCTTTATCCCTAAGGGAAAAGAAATGTAATCAGTAAATATTTCTTCTTCACTAGGGTTTTGAAAATATTCTTCCTTGAATTAAAAAGAAAAAAGGCCATCCCTTTGAAGAATTTTGGGGAGGGGCAGGAGGGGAGAACAGTATATAAAATCCTTATCAAATCAGTTTTAAGGCTTCAATTGAACAGAAAACACAGAATAATGTACTAAGAGCTCTATAATCCTACCTTCTACTGAATGGCATTAACTGCAACCCTATTTTAGGACCAACTAGAAGACAAATGCAAAGTTAAAAATCTGTGTAAAAGACATTCTTCCTAAGACTTTGACTTTTATACTTCTCTCTTTATGCATAAGAGCAACGATTTTTTCATTCAAGTAAAATTCTACTTGTTAATGATTTCTCCTCACTTCTACTTTGTGGGAGTGGACCACGTCACGGAAGATGGACATGGTGAGCCACTGCCTCCCAGAGGTCCCTTACACACTTTGCAGGACAGAGCAGAGGGTCAAGTCCAAGTGGAGGTTTTAAATTCAAGCCAGCTGTGCTCTCAAAGAGGAGAAAAGGCTGGGATATACTTTAAAAGCCACCCAAAAAGCATTTCCATCTGATGTCATTTACACTTCTTCCCATTTTATTTACTTTTAAAAATTCATGTCCCTAAGTAAGATGTAGATGTGCCACATGTGGTCATTTAACTCCAGGTAGCATTCATTTTAAGTACCTGCTGGAATAAGATTATTTTAATATTAGATGTACAAATGCCAGCATCTTTCATCTATTAACATTAACTGGGAATACAATGAAATATTGCTCTTACATTTCTAGTTTCCATATTATAAGGAACATAGCCAGTAATAATGTACTTATAAAGAAAAGCAACTCAATGAAACTTGTCATTGCTACAGAACAATAGAAACCAGAGACAAAAGAAACTTTTGCAGACAGAGAAAAATGTGTCTTTAGTGTCTTTCCACCACCCTCCCTTCTGGGAAGATTTTACGTCCCACCCTGGTCCTCAGCCCCCAGTCAATGCAGCCTGGGCTTCTCCAATAAGGAGTAATTCCCCTCAGGAGGGCTTCACGAACCCTCTAGCCACTCTGCGGCCAAGGGACAGAGGCTATAAGCAAAATGCAGTGACTCGTCCTTACCTCCGGCTATCTACATGCTTGGCAGTGGACTGCAGCGACGGGAACTGTGTGTCACTGTATATCTCTGGCGGTCCTTGTGGTGTTTTCCTGGTTGTGGTTAATCGGGCCCCAGGAGGCCTATACACACCACTAGTCATGGCCGGTTCTGGGGTTTCTGCAACTAATATCATACAACAGTTCAGTAAACTATTCAAATGTTCAACATTTTAACAAATTTCTCCTGTACTCCTATTCTTTAACCATTATAGAAAACAAACGAAGAAAACAGATAACAGGGACCAGCAGATGGCGTAATAATGGCTATGATGCTAAACTCCCATGTAGTCGACTGTGGTTCAAGTCCTGGAGCTAGTGGCTTAATCTCACGCCAGGCATGTGTGCGTGTGTGCCCAAGATACAGAAAGGAGCATGGAGGAAAAGGGATTGCAGCATGGCCATCCTGGGGGGCGGGGGGGGGGGCAATTTCTCTCTTTCTGTCCCTCTCTGTCTTTCTGGCAAGCGCACACGCCCTACAGCAAAAACCTCTGGAAACAAACAACAAAAACCAGGTAAGTTCATGGGGTGTGAAAGAAGGAGTCATTTGAGGAAATGCCTCAAGAAAGTGTAGACATTTTTCTGAAGTAGATATTAACTCCTCCTCCACAGGCGATGTTAATTTTCTATAAGCCAAATTCTCAAAAGTGGGAAAGAAACCCAGTACACCTGAGCCAGTGAGGGCTGTCAGGAACACGACCCTTGGGAACCAGCAGTTAGTGTAATGGCTATGTCGCTGGACTCCCACGTAGTCAACCGTGGTTCGCGTCCCGGACCTGGTGGCTTAAAACTCACGCCAGGCGCGTGTGCGTGCATGCCCAAGATCCCGAGAGGAGAATGGAGGAGAAGGGATTGCGGCGTGACCATCCCCCCTGGGGGGTGATTTCTTGCTTTCTATCTCTAATGTCTCTGGCTGGCTGGCGGCACACGCCCTATAGCAAAAATCTCTCCCAAAAAAAAAAGAGAACACGACCCTCTTCCTCCGCAGTGTACCTGGCAGCGAATGTGGGTAATCTCTTCTCAGGTTCACGGATTAAATAAGATGTCACAAGTAAATCTCATAAAATACCTGATTAGTTTTAGTTTTTTTAAAAATTTTAAAATCACTTCCTGACCTTTGGCTGAGATCAGGTATAAACGTTTTGAAGATACTGGGTCCTCAGGAAAGTCAGGATGTATTTTTCTGTTTTCCCATGCAAAAATGTGTCATGACCTTTCCGACAACCCAGTACAATAGAAAACTATAATTATTTCATTGCCTTCCGTATCATTTAAGGGTCTCTTTCTTGTCATCTTAGAAAACATAAGTAAGCTAGGGATAAAAATGACAGCTGCCCCAAATCTTTCACAGGGGTTGACATGTGGAGGACACAGCCATCTAGCTTTTTCATTTCATTCTTAATATGGAGTGAAACAGTGTTAAATACATCTTTTCAATTTACCAAAAACTTCCCTTCAAATGGACATCTACGTCATCACTGACGAGGTGAAATGATACAGCCATTTGAATACTGTTATAAAAGTTTACGGTTCTGTAGTTTCTGACACGGGGGAAGGTATCTATGACGCACTCTATTTAATGAGCACCAAGCCACACGCAAGACACAAACACTGACAAACACCGCTGCCTTGATGAACTCTATTCTGGACACTAGCCACATGAAGCCATGTCAAATGGCCACATCAGCCACATCTGAGAATTCAGCAGCCCCAAGGTGGCTTAGTGGCTACTGTGTCAGACTGTTCGAACAGGTGCTTTAGTAACAAAGTGAAGGGAGTGCACACAGATAAGGCCCTGTTGGAAGGGGCTGCATCTTTTCTCTTGTCACTCACACTGAAGCACATAACGCACTAGAGACAGAGGCGAACACCCTGAGTACAGTCGTGCAACGGCCCCTTTCTCGTGTCCTCCAGCCTGCTAGGATCTCGGGCCACAAGCACACGGCTAGTTGGGGCTGTGATTTAAAGCAGGTGGTAAGAAGGGCCTGAATGATGAAGGAAGAACTGAGCAAAGACCTAAAAAGATGCAAAAGCACAAAACGAGTTGGCAAACCAGCGGGACCTGCGCTGAAGGTGGTGTGTGTGGTGTCAATTGCTGATGCCAGGCACGCAGCAGCTCCTGTGCCACCACGGCAGTACCAAGCACTCTGACAGTTGAGCAGCCCTCACAGCCTGAACACCTTACTGAAGAGCCTCAGTCTAGATACCAAGGAAAGAGGATTCCAAGCTGAAATCAGAAGCACGAAGGGTGTGCAGTTAACGGTATGCCTGGTTGTGTAAGGAACAGTGAGGGAGGACTGAATCACCCTGAGATAGTCAGAAAACGGGAGGGCAAGATAGATGTGCAAGGCTTTGTAATCCATGAAGAATTTTGGATTTTATGATTTATTTTAGTTTTTACTATAAGGCACATGAGTGCACAGGGGGATTTCTCATCCTCCCCTTCCATCCAGGAGAGGGGTTTGGCCATGCTGAAATCCCTTCTTCTCTCATGATTTTGGGCATATATACACATGCACCTGACATGTTTTTCAAGCCTCTGGGTTTAGGACTCAAACCACTCAGCTGGCAATGGGGGATCCAGCTGCCTTAACCTCCACAGGACCTGCTGGCCCAAAGAACTCTCACATTTACTCTGAATTAGAAAGAAAGCCACTGGAGATTTGTGACCAGCTAGTGATGTTTGACAAATTTTAAAAGTATTAACATTCTGGCTGCTGTGTTGGGAACGGAGTAGAAGGAGAAGAGAAGACGGGAACCAGGTTAAGAGGCTACCTCAAAAATCTGTGAAAGTAAAACCAGAAAGAATTTACTGACAGGGCCAGCCCTGCAGCCTGGTGGTTAAAGGAAGTCAGACTGAACATGGCTAATAGCAAGGCTTGAATCCTAGCTCTGGCCACTTGAGAAACACCAGGCACACATACGTGCATGCCCAAAATTCCAACAGGGTGGAGAAATGGAGAAGGGATTCCAGCACGACCACACCCCTTTGAAAGATGCTTTCTCCCCTTTCCTCTGTCTCTCTCCAGCAATTACATGTGCCATCTGACTTAATTTTTTAAAAAAGTTACAGTCTGAGGTATGGACCAAGAGAAAGGAGTCAAGGTAGCTCCAAGATCTGTAGCCTAAGTGACTGAAAGAACAGCACTGAGATGAGAAACGTGGGAAGGAACAGATCCAAGAGCCGTGAGGAGGAGCCTGGAGCGTTTAGTTCGAGATGTTGAGTAGTTATGCTTATGTATCGGGAATTCAGGAGTGATCTGAGCTGTAAATCTGAGAGTCGCTGTCGTTACAGACAAGGCTACCAATGGTGTAAGGTTCAACAGAAAAGACAGACAAGGACTGAGAGCCCTGGAGCAGACTAGCATTCGGTGCGGGGGAGAAGAGGCGGCAAGGAACACTGAGGGAGGAGAAGGTGGTGTCCTGGAAGCCAAGCAAAAGACCATTTCAAGGAGATGACCAGTCATGGCAAAAGCTGCTGGAGTCAGATAGGCTGAGGCTGAGACTGAGACTCGGGCATTTGTTTTATCAAAGTCAGATTATTATTAGGGACCACTCACAACTCAGGGTAAAAAAAAAAAAAAAAAAAAAAAGAGTTAAATGGGCAATACATACACAGTGCCAGCCAGAAGCGTGTGAAGGGTGACATGCAGGAGATACCCGCCCTCCCTGAACAAGACTGGGGTAAGCTGTTATTCTCCATAACACACTGTGTAAACTAAGGGGTACCCAGGACTTGAAAACAGTGCCTCTCAAACTGTTCTCAGGACTGCCTTCTCAGTGAGCTTAGAAGTCCGTACCCTAACAGCCCCTGCCCTGTGAACTTTACTACCGCAGGTCTAGCGCACATCTTCTTAGGGAACACGGCCCTCTAGAGGGCCAAAGGGCACCGTTAAGATCTACAATTCCGGGACCAGCAGTTAGCGTAATGGCTATGTCGCTGGACTCCCATGTAGGCCACAGACTTCCTCGGCAGGCCACAGATAGGCTCACAGACAGGTAGGCTCACACATAAGCCAGACACCTTTTGAGGCTGAAACAGTCAGATTACCAATTACTGGAGCAGGAGGTGCTTGTACCGGAGCTGTTTTATTCCAGGGGCCTGAAGACTTTTCCACACCACCACCACCGCCACCACCTCCACCTTCTTCCCAGCTGTCACTTGGATCTTCTCTCTTCTCACTGTCATCTTCTTCCTTTTCACTATTGGAAAAGCAAACAAGTGAACAGTGATTTAAGAACCACGAGGAAAACTGTCAGTCCCAGTTCTAGCAATGCTGTTATCTGTGCGACCATAGAAGTCACTTAACCCCTTCAAAGTCGAAATCCTTTTTTTTCTTTTTGAGAGGTTTTTGCTATAGGGCACATGTGCTCGCCAGACAGACAGACAGACACACAGAAAGTGAGAAAACACCCCACAGGGGAGATGGCCACACCGCAATCCCTTCTCCTCCATTCTCCTTTCAGGATCTTGGGCATGTACCCACACGCACCCGGTGTGAGTTTAAGCCACCGGGTCCAGGACTTGAGCCACATTTGACTACATGGGAGTCCAGTGACATAGCCATTACGCCAACTGCTGGTCCCAGTACTTCACTTGTTTAAAACAGGGTGAGAAATATGAGATCTTTATGATTTTTATCTATTTTATGCACTGGGACTTCCAGCTGATTTCATGTAAAAAAAAAAAAAAAAAAAAAGGATGCCATTACTCTAAGAAAGATTTAGAAACCTCTCAGTTTAGGGGCCAGAAGGTGGTGTGATGGTTGAGGCACTAAACTCCCACATGGCTGATCGCGGTTCGAGTCCTGGATCTGCTGGCTTGCTTTCTCACTTTCTCTCTCTATAGAGCACACATAAAAAAGAAAAAAGAAACCTCTTCATTTAATAGTCTCCTCTTCTCTTTTGCAAACCACTTCATACAGGCCACAAAATTTAGAAATGCTTTAAAGCACTGACATGCCTATATCGCAATGTGTTTGGCTATTTATAGCAGCAGTTGTAAGAGCAGGACCCCAGCTACCAGCTCAAGCTTAACTGAGGGAAGGAAGAGAGTGACTTAATTAAAACAAAATTATGCAGTGAAAAGGATCACTTGATAGATTAAAATCAGAATTACAAGATTTTCTTGGCCTGAAATGTACAATCAGGCATCGATGGTGAGCATATTTTTAGTAAGCGAATGAAGGGTTTTTGTACGTTGTATAATTTCATTTGCTAATCCTTTAGCTCATGTTATAAGATGCACTCAAAATTAGAATTCACTTTCCAATAGAGAAAGATTGTGCCCAGCATTTACGTGCATGCTATGTTAGTAGTGCCAGTCTTTACTCCAATACAAGGAATATGCAGAACTACCTCCTAACACCTGACGTGTCTTTGTCATCTGCAAAAAAAAAAAAAAGGAAACTCCTGGGACAGCTGATGGCATGGTAAAGGGTAAAGCAGATGGATCCTATATGACTGACTCTGGTTCTAATACCAGACCCAGAGGACTAAAAAACACGTAGGTGCCCCCAAATCGACAAAATGATGAAATGGAAGAAAAGGAACCGCAGCTTGACCACCTCCATAGAGTAGCTTTCTCACTTTCCCCATCTGCCTCTCTCCCACTAGTGCACTCACCCAAACCCCCTGGCAAATTAAAAAAAAAAAAAAAAAAAAAAAAAAAGATCAAGTACTTCTGCCTTTTCTTTCTTCAATTTTTTAGAAGAATTATTTAATTTTATTATTATTATTTTCAACTTGCAACAGGGCACGAGCACTCAGAGAGAGAAAGCCAGCCACCAGGTCTGGGACTCAACTGCAGTCTAGCACCTCAAGTACCATTGCCACCTGCTGGTCCCTGTACGGTCTTTCTAACGCTGGCTTGAAGGCAGAGATATTTAGTACAAAAACTGCTAAATCAAACTTCCTTCGTCCCAACTCTTTCGTCTTTCTTGATGACATTCTTGGTGTAAAATAAAACTCTACACGTATGTGGCTGGCCTCGTGGCTGTTTGTTGTTATTCATGTGATTCATGGGTGGAGAGTATGAGAAAGAAGTACCCTCAACAGGTTCTGATCACAGCACAGGCCTCTCGGCCCAGGCCTCCAGCAAAGACCTTGGGCATGAGTATGTTTCAGACTGACCCAGCCAGGGACCCAAACCGGCAGATGACGCTCAATACTCTACCAACTGTGCTACAGAGGCTGGGCCACAGTCATGGCACAGCACACAGAGGACCGCGCCCTAGACTACGAGACCTTGGGAACATCATGGTCTCTCTTGGTTTCTGCAAAACATGTGCGGATGCTTTCGTTCCATTTCTACAAACAAGACACATTTCTTGACCAGACTCAAGAGTCCCCTTTAAATATACTTAGAACAGGTCCAGCATTTGGTATGGTGGTTTAGGCTCTGAACTCCCACATGGCCAAATGTACTTCGAGGCCTGGACCTGGCACCTTAAAAATCACGTCATGCACGTGTGCATATGTGCCCCAAAATGCTGAGAGAATGAAGAAGGGATTATGGCGTGGCCATTCCCCCAAGGGTGACCGCTCACTTTCCCTCTCTCTGTCTGGTGAGTGCACATACCCTATGGTAAAAACAAACAAACAAACAAAAAAACAGCTGCTGGCACAGTGGTTAAGGTGCTGGACTCCCACGTAGCTAAATGCAGTTTGAGTCCTGGACCTAGCAGCTTGCTTTCTCACTTCTGTCTCTCTCTGGTCAAATTAATAACAAGTAAAATTAAGTAAATAATTCTTCAAAAATAAATAACTACACTTAAAAAAAAAATGGCAACATCATGTGAAGTGCCTACCAACTACAGGTAACATCAATTTACAGACCTAGGGACCAGCAGGTGGCGAAATGGTCACGTCACTGGACTCCCACACAGTCCAAACAGTTCGTGAAGTCCCAGACCTGATGGCTTACAGTTCAGGCTGGGTGCAGGTGTGCCCAAGATCCCAAGAGGAGAATGAAGGAGGGATTGCAGTGTGGCCATCCCCCCTGGAGAGTGATTCTTCACTTTCTATCTCTGTCTCTCTGGCGAGAACACTCACCTTATAGTAAAAATCTCTTTAAAAAATAAAAAAAAGAGGGAACCAGCAGTTAGCGTAATGGCTATGTCGCTGGACTCCCACATAGTCGACCGCGGTTCACGTCCCGGACCCGGTGGCTTAAAACTCACACCGGGCGCGTGTGTGCGTGCCCAAGATCCCAAGAGAAGAATGGAGAAGGGATTGCGGCGTGACAATCCCCCCTGGGGGGTGATTTCTCGCTTTCTGTCTCTATGTCTCTCTCTGTCTGTCTGGTGAGCACACGCGCCCTATAGCGAAAACCTCTCAAAAAAAAAAAAAAAAAGGAAAGAGGTAACCATTTACAATTGGCTAGACTGGCAATTAAGAACAGCAGAAAAGACTTAGCTTAACCTTCATTAGAGCAAGATTTTACTTAAGACTTATCCACGAGGAAAAAAAGAATGGAGACTGGTCAAAGTGTTCCGTTTCCTTTTCATTAACACATGACAGAACTCCATGCAGTCATCTGAAATGATGTTAGGGTGGGCCAGCCAGTGGCATGATAGTTAAGGCAGCTGGATCCCACATATCCAACTGTGCAGGTCAAGTCCCAGACCCAGAGGCTCAAAAAACATACTGGGTGGGTGAGTGCATATCCCCAGTCTGGAGTGGAGAATGGAGAAGGGACTGTGGCCTTAACCAGCACGACTGCCGGGCTCTCCAGCAAGCACATACATCTTATAGCAAACTAACAAAAAAAAGAAACAAAAAGCCTCTATGTATGTATCTATACAGTTAAATAAAGCAATGTTAGGCCCATACTGACATGAAAGTAGCAGGAATCAGCAACTGTAAAACATCCACAGACCTAATATAAAGACATCAGAATTTCTTACATGTTGGTAAGTACTACCTTTGAGACCCAGAATGCATAGCTTTGTATTCTTCATGAAACAAACAAGAGCATATTTATTTTTTTCAGGTTCTTACCACAGAATGTGTTCACTAGCCAGAAAGAGAGAAAGAAATTGAGAGGGAAAAAGAAACCACCCGGGGGGTTGGCCATGCCACAATCCCTGCTCTGGGGATCTGGGACATACATGTGCCCAGCATGATTTTCAAGCTGCTAGGTCCAGGACTCAGAGCATGTAGCTGGCCACGTGAGAGTCTGGCACTTTAACTACCATATCACCCACCCCCAATAAAAGCAGATTTCTGGTTCAAACCCAGGCTCTGCCAACTACTAGCAGGAGAAAGAGTGCAGCACTAACTTCTCTGTCTGTTTCCCCCTTTTGAAAGAGGGCCAATAGCCCCATAACGAAGATGAAATGGTTCGAAACTGCCCAGCACATAGTACGCACTATTTGATAGCTATACTTTTTAATATTCATACCAACCAACACATCTTTACAATGGAGAAACAAATGCAGTTTTTATTTGGAGAAAAAAATGAAAAAACATGTTCTTTTTGAAATTATTTTCAAAAATGGATTATCACACAGTATGGCCCTGTTTTCTAAAAGTAGCTTTCTACGTGGGATGAATGACTAATGAAGGGCATGCAGGTCATAATTTACCTAGATACCGTGGTATCCAAACATCTGACTCACTCTAAAAGGACTTTAAAACAAATCAAAATCTATGGCAAAGCAATTACTTGCAATGAAATGTGACCTGCTTGATTCGAGGCTAAGCTGCATGGGTGCTACCCACCCAGCTACAAGCGACGAGTTAGTGATATCCTAGCAACCCTGTCCATGTCAGAGAGCCCCTCAAAGAGCGCAGTGGCTTTAGAGCAGACCAAGGCTGTGAGAGCTTCCAGTTACTTACATTCTGGAACAGTTGTCATCTCAATGAATTCAATGACAACTGTTCAATTACATATTGAACTCTAAAATATAGTTCCAGCAGACGGCGTAGCGGTTACTTTGCTGGACTCCCACGAGACTACGGTTCAAATCCCAGACCTGATGGCTTAAAACGCCAGGTGCCTGTGTACACACACAAAATCCTGAGAGGAGAATGGAGAAGGGATTACGGCATGGCCACTCCTTCACCCCTACCCCCAGTGACTTTCTCGCTTTCTGTCTCTGTCTCTGATGAGCACACTAGCCCTATAGCAAAAAAATTTTCTCTTTTAAGTTGCTTTATTTACTTAATTAATTTGACCAGAGAGGGGGCAGAGTAAGAGA